CTAGACGGGCTGCTCAAGCGTGATGGAGTGCACATTGACGACCGTTTCTGAATGTACCGTATTGTGTAGAAAGTAGCAGCCATATCGTTGTTCAAGGGGGACGCCCTACTGTCATGGCAATGGGAAGTGGCCTTGCCAACACCTCTCCGGACAGTTGTTGACAAGGCCGCTGCCATTGCCACGCTGGTCAAGGGTCCTTGACGAGTGATCCTGACTAAGTCCTCGACAGCGCCTGTCATACGGCAAGCAACGTGCAACGCGTGAGGTGAAGGGAAAACGTGAGCAAACTAAAGATATTCACGTGATGATTCGACAGAGATTCGAACAAGCATCATTTGTGGAAGGGTATTTCTGCCAATTAATGCAATGCTCATCGAGATTTGCTAATTGAGGTTTTCCTGTTTGAGACTTGGCAATTATATTGGAGCACAACAGTTTACGGTCGCTGGTCTCTCGTTTATTTGCGCTTTTCTATCGTGGAGTCATGGAATCGTAGTAAGCAGCAATGCATCGATGCCTACGCAGTAGCATACTGCGGTTACCTCGAGCCGTCAAGGATGCTGAACAAACAGCCGTCATATAATCCCACTACCGTGCCAAACTGCCCCCATCTAGATTCTTTGTGAATCCCTCTTGTGTACAGGGATCTGCAATTTCCACACCAAATCACGTTATGAAATTTTCATCGGAAAAGATGTCAATTTTACCACTCCACGTGGGTCGAGTTAACGCGCCCGTTCCAAGTTGGCCTTGCAAGACCCAGGCTAGTCATCCCCTTCCCCGTGATCAGTTGACAACATAATTGTTTCTCAAGCGAGCCGCCGCTTCGGCGATTGCCATCGCGGATCACGATTTCGAGGAGGCCGTTTGGAAAAATGGTAGGGCAAGGTTTGGGCTGCTGCTCGTTGTCCACGTCGCTGCCACGTCCCCTGCGGGGTGTGTGCCTCATCCCTTGTCCGTTTTGGGTGCCCTTCGGCCCCGCGCCCACAGCACGCGAGCACCCCCGCCACGTGCCCACGCCCGGGCTCGTCTGCGGACCGCACCCTGCGGGGGAGGTTATCGGCACACACGTGAGTATGCACGTCGCCTTCGGGCGGGGCATGCGCTGTGCCATATAGCTCGACCATGCCATGACTATTTCTTTTCCACAGTGCATGTAGAATCTGTGATGGGAGGCGTTGGGGGCGGTTTGACGGGCTAATGAGCTGCGCCTGAACAGATGATGTGGTCGCCTCTTTGAGCTCTCAGTCGCTGCCCTAGATTTCCCAGCATCCCTTGTGAAATTAACCATGTAAGTTCACTGAACTTTGCAACTCTCGAGCTGCTGTCGTCTGTCCGTCGTGCTAGCCTGGACTGCGTGGAAGGCGTGTGCACACCAGGCAGCTCATGAGTCAGAAAGGGATTGTCTTTTACGGCACCATTTTGCATTTTACTTTGTAAGAAAGCGTAAACAGATAAATGGCCATATTGGTGGTCATATTTACGCAGTTTTACGGCTCACCGACACACCTAGGTTACATGATGATGTCCCTGACAATGATGAGTCCTCCGTCCCCTCAAGCGTCAGCAACACAGCGTCCACCTCGCTCTTGGCAATGGGATAGACTTCATCGCGCATAATTTCGTTTTCAGCCCACACCAGCGCCTCTGGCTGGCGCTCCCCGGAATATGTATGGTATTATGTACACAGATCACTCTTGTGCATTTTACGTCTACTTACGCGTGCAAAGAAAGCAAAAAACTATTTGACGCTTAAAGACACGCAACAGGGCAGAACTGTCAAATTGCCTCCAGATTCGGTCAGTGGACACCCGACACACAAAAGGGGGTTGACCGGTCTTCAGCCACACACAGAGTGTCTGACGAGCTGCAAAGACATCCGATAACGCCGGCAGTCAGTACTCCACAAACCTGGACTGCAATCGTTACGGAACCGCCGACCAGCACATGTCCACTGGTGGGCGGAATGCCATGTGTTGTTGCCAGTCCTTGATGTTTGCATGTGTTAAGGGATGCGTCACAGCCCGTTACAAACACTAATATAGCATTTTGTAATAAGGGAAGCAAAGAAAGGGATGCACTGAATTGCCTATTTGCACCACGATTTTGCTTCACATGATTGTGTGGATACCAGGCAACAGTTTGTGGTGAGGGTGCTTGTCCACTGCCCTCAGGAGGTCGTTATGAGAAAAATAGAATGTCATGACACGAGTCTTTGGGGCCTTGTCTGGGTCCCACCTCAGCGAACCATCACCCAGCCACGCTCATGCTCAATGTCCTGGCTCCTCGCGCCATCGCTCTCGCGGCGGAACGCGCGGCCCGGGAGGTACGGAGCACCACAAACGATCGCGCAGACTGGTGAGAGTGGCTCCGGGTGAGCGGCTGGGGCCATGCGGCCAATGGACGGCTGCTGCGGCAAGGCGGGCTCTTCCACGAATTCAAACAGCTAACGGTTCAGGCGGCGTGGGGGCTTCATGGTTGCCGTCCCGTCGATGCGAGGTTCTCATTCCTAGTGCCAGAAATCGCCACTCACAACGGGCGCCTGGCGGACGGGAGTAGGCCCGCACATAAAGATGTCCGCAGTGTCAAACAAGGTGGCAGTTGGCAGACTCACGGGGGCAAATTGCGATCCACGGCACGGTACTACACGGCGTCCGCACCTACAAGCAAAAGCTTGCGTGGCAGTGCATCATTTGCGATTGGCCAGCCGGCACGAGAGCTCCATGGAGGAGTTGTTGGCCGCGGGATCGCAGACAGCAAGGGCGATGACGACAAGACCCATTTTCGAGAACTAGAGCAGCGGCGCAAGCAGGCTTGGTTTTTACGCCGTAAAAACTGATCGTATTTACGTTTTTACGCGCAAAAATAGTTTTTACGTTTTTACACGTAAAAATGCGTAAAAATACGTAAATACAACGTAAAAACTGCCCGGTGTACATAAGGACAGTACATACAGACTTACGGAGTCCGGAGAATGGCAGCCAGACGCCCTGGAAGGTGCAGAAAATGGGTTTTTGTTACACACCATCATCGCTTTTGCGAAGGGCAAGGTGGACACAGTGTTGCGGGTGCTGGATATGGCGGAGGGCTGATCATTGTAGGCAACTTTCATCGTGTAATCTGGGCGTCCCAGGGAGCCGTAAAAACGTAAAAATAGCCGTAAAAATAGAGCCTTTTGTAAATTTACGTTTTTACGCGTAAAAACGTAAAAGTAAAAACGTAAACGTAAACGTAAAAACCAAGCCTGGGCGCAAGTTTGAGCCACTAGCGCCACAATTTGCGCCACTTTAAATGTGACGGGGTGGGAATGGACCACCACCTTGGGGTGGGAGCAATCAAGGCAGCCAAAATTAACGATTGAGGGTTGCTGGGATTCTGTCACAGAGTGAGATGCCACCTAAGGCCTTGCCAGACGCACCTGGCGTTACAGACTCCAGGCCCACCTCCGTGGTGCGACCCGACAGAGACACACCCGTACTCGGTATTGCCATCCCCTGGTGGCCTTGCGCTAGTCGGGCCGCTCAACTGTGATGGAGTGCATCACACTTCGCATTGGCGAACGGTTCTGAATGTCCAGTATTGTGTACAAAGTAGCAGACATATCCTTGTTCAAGGGGGACGCCCATTGTGCGATTGCTTCATTTGCAGCATGGATTTTCTTCGGCAGCTTTTCGATATAAGATGAGTTGGAAATGATCATAAAACATGTGAAGAATACCCGGAAGCGCACCTAAGGGCATGAGATGCACACAGCGCGGTCTATGTCTATAGCACGTGCTGCGTAAAGCCGCCTTGAATTCTGCCGCTGAGTCGACACACTGCTTGATTCGCCAATCAACGCCCATGTTAAGCGAATTTGGGACTCAGGGGGAGCATTTCAGCTGAGTTTGACTGCTGGCAGCGCATCAAACTTGCGTGACTTCAGTTGGAGGCATAGTCGGAGTTGATACGGCACAATTGTGACACGCAATGCCTTGCGCAAAACTGTGACCGTATTCTCACTCGCTTTGAAGAAAGGACGCCATGGTTTGCCATTTATAACGATTATATGCGCTGTGCGTCTGAAATTTGGGAAGCACAGTTGGGGAGTAAATCTGCTTTTACCTTCAGCACGGAAGCGGTCGATTTCAAGTCACACAATTTGTGAGATTGTTCTGATGAGGGCTCGATAATTGTCCGTGCCAACCGCCATGTTCAGCGCTACCCAATTAATTGGGTCCAATATTGAACTGCGTAAAACTACATTCGACAGGGCTGTCTTCTGCTGTCAGCTGTCATCTTTCTTCAAATCACGTTCGTTGATGTAAGAGCTCGGAAGAGGGCGCATTTGGTGAGGCCTGATGGCTTTTCAGTGCTTGGCAGAACATACCCAGATCCGCTGTTAGCTCTCGTTGACAGCACACATGCTTGCAAGTGCGTTCTTGGTGCATCGGCAACATTTCAACATGTAAAACCAGCGCATGCGCAAACGCACTTGCCCTCGTATTACGCTTCTCAACGAAGGACACCGTTATAATGCCTTTGCCAATATTCAATATTCTGATGCACGATCCTTAGTTTACATTCTCGTGTAATACATTGGAATTCAAAAAAAATATTCTGATGCACAACGCTGTCGACAATTCACGCGCACTGAGATCATGGTCCATCGCGCCTCAACGGGCAAGGAAATGCGAACGCACTGCGTGTTCGTTGAAGTCCAGGCGTTGACTGGCCCACGCTCCTGCCAGCAGCGCCCGAAGCCCCACTCACGCCCAACAAGCCCGGCGCCCCGCTGCCGACGTCCATCTTCTTGCGCCTCGGCGGCGGCCCACCGCCAGGCGAGGTCCTCACCCCAGCGCCGCCGTAGTCCCCATTCCCCACCCCGCGACATCAGGCCACGGCGCCCACCAGGTCGCCCATCGGTGAAGCTCGCCGATCGGCAAGACTAGCTTTGCACAAGTTTGGCCTTTCAGCGAAATTCGCATCACGCGGATCGTCCTCCCAGGGCCGGGCGCAAGATGAACGTCTTCCGGCTGGCCGGCGACCTCACCCACCTCCTGTCCCTGGTGGTCCTGCTGCTGAAGATTGTCGCCACCAAGAGCTGCCGCGGGGTGTCAGCCAAAACCCAGGAGCTGTACGCCATCGTGTTCGTCACGCGCTACCTGGACCTGCTCTTCAGCTTCGTGTCGCTCTATAACTCGGTGATGAAGGTGGTCTTCCTTGGATCTGCCTTCTCGATCGTCTATTTCATGCGGTACCACAAGGTGGGGGTCATTTGGCGTTCATGGATGTCATGTCTTGGACAGTCTGGCTGCCCATCTGTGCCCCAAGCACCGTTGTTGATACAATGGCAGGTGCTTTGTCGCTTCTTGATCACAAGTTCACTGAAGCGAATTGTTGTACCGTGTGCTTCTTTGGTTGAAAAGCACTGTGTGCCAAGCATTTGTGAGGTCACTGCAGACAACCAGACAAAACCGATGCTGTTGGAAAGATGATCTGAGCCCAGTGGAGATGCACGCCATGACCAGCGCACTGTCGTTCACAGGCTGCGAAAGATCTATCCATTCAGTTGGCTGTTTGGCAATTGTATTAAGCCATCGTCGTTCTCTGCGCAAGGTGGTGAGGCACACGTACGACAGGGAGTTGGACACCTTTCGATCTAGTTTCCTGGTGGCCGGATCAATGGTTCTGGCCCTGCTGATCAACAGCAAATACACCTTCTTTGAAGTGCTGTGGACCTTTTCGATCTACCTAGAGGCCGTGGCGATCTTGCCCCAGCTTGTGATGCTGCAGAGAACAGGAAATATAGACAATCTGACAGGAAACTACGTCTTCTTGCTGGGGATGTACAGGGGCCTATACATCCTCAACTGGATCTACAGGTACTGAATGAATGGATGCATTGCTTAGACATGACCACCCAATAATGAAAGCAGCACCCTTGGAATGGCCTGTGGCTTCGCTAAGTTCAGATAACCTGACTATGGGAATGTGGCAAATGGTCTTCAACGTGATTGACAATGGACTTCAACGTGATTGGCAACAGAGCATGCCAACAACATTCGCTGCATCTAAATGTCCAGACATTGACATACAGTAACTGCAGGTGATTGCGCATCAGCTTTCCTGGCTCCAAAGACCACATGGGGGGGTAGTTGTGCGCTTCACATTCATTTTATCTGTCTAATTATGACTGAAGCCCTGTCAGCTGTTGGTAGTGCTTTCACTGGCACAAAAGCTTCAGTAGCATTTTCCTCACACCTTCAGCAGAACCTTTTGAATTATTCGGCATTGATCATAAGGCAGGTGTGTCGTTTCGGTACTCGAAATAGAGTACAATCTGAGTTGCGGGCCTCCATCTATGGGGGCATGGCCACCTACTAGCTTTGTCCACCTGCTGTGCCTGATTGCCAGCTTCTGGCTGAGTGCATCCTTGCTTTTCTCTGCTGAATATGCAGGAGGATATGTGCCTTGGCAAAACGCAAGTGCAGGAATGTGCGATTTGTTCTCTCTTGCCCCTGTAACTGGAGGCTACACACTGTGCTGTGTACTGTCATTGCCACAGTATGATTACATCAGATGGCAACTTTGGGCAGCTGTATCTGTTCCTGTGGGACCAGATGCAGTCTCTGCAGATGGCAGCCTGAAAGAGCAGAAACTGTGCACACACAATCCCATATGAGGAGCTTGTCAATGCATAACATTCACCCTCAATCTATCTATGGTAACCATTCCCCCTGGAGTCAGCCAAATCGCACTCGACTGGCACCATTCCATTCCGCCAGAGTTCGTAACGAATATCAATTATCAACAGTGCTCAACAGGGCAAATGACTTGCCACAGTTTTGACGAATGCTGGCGGTGGGGATCTCCGGCAGCCATCTGACAAAGCCATATCTGCCTCTAAGACAACTGGCACATGCCACAACAGTCTATTCCTCACACACCCACAGCATTTGAAAGTTAGCCCCAGATCATCGCCACACACACTGTCGCCATATATATGGGCAATGTACGAACATTGTTGTTTAAATTTGCATGGAGGACAGGTATTGTGAGGTCAAATGGAACCATAGTGAGTACACTGGATGTCATGATAGTTTGCCAGTGACAAAGTCACCCACTGGAGGTCATCCGATGACATCATCACAGTCCATGGAGAACAGAACATGGTCCGCGTGCTGCCTGTGGGGTGAGCTCGTCCATTTTCTGCTTTCCTTGGTATGCTGCCATCCTTCTGCAAGACAACTTGCAGTGCATGTTGTGGTGCACTTGTCGCTCAGTCCTATTGCTGATCTTGCTACTAGGTGCAAGGAACATGCAGCCAGATTGTTGCTACAAACAAATAACGAACACGCAGAGAGCACTGCAGGGTTCAGATACGCCAAGATGCCTTGTCGTCATCTCCTTATTTGCAAAGGGAGCCTCAACTTGATGCACATGTCTCCTGCAATTCACCTGTGTTGACATGATATGTGTGAGAAGTCTCCATTCTTTCGCACTTGGAAGGTGGACACCTGTTGTAGTTCACAAGTCCATCCCTCTTTAAGCGTCAACTGGGCCACCTTTTTGTGGCAAGGCTGCTGCCCTTGCTGAAATGCATTGTGTTATTTGACAGGTATAGCACGGAACGCAGGTATTGGCAGATGATCGTTTGGGTGTCTGGCATCATACAGACAGCCCTGTATGCAGACTTCTTTTACTACTACCTCAAATGCTGGAACGAGAATAGAACATTGGTGATTCCTCAATGAGATATTTTGAGAGGTACGGACAGGGTGGCAGCACTGCGTTGCAGTGGAATGGGTTGTGGGCAGGGCATAGACATGCAGGGCAGGACTCGACAAACACGTGGTTAGCCACCACCATTTCAGCAGCGTGCAAAGCCTGAGCCAGGGATGCTGAATAGGGCCCATAGACAGCATACTGCAATGGGTGCTGGATTGCCATCACCGGTCAAGAATGGACTACAGTCTCATTCAGCTGTGAGTCAGTGACTGGTTCCAAAACTTTCGGCAGGATGTGGCCTTTTCGCTGTCCAACTGTGCTGCATGACCAACAGATAGCTACACGTTTTGAAAGCTTCAGCCACTGCCAAATCACAGGTAAATCTGTTCGCCTGAAATCGAACCCTGTCTTGACATTGTGGTGGCCGATAGCTGCAGATGGCCCCAGGAGACTGGGAGCTGGCAGGTGCAGCGTAAGCAGGATTGGACCAAGAGAGTACAAGGCCAGCAAGAAAACTTTTATCTTTCCATGCGACTGCATCAAGGACAGTAGCTTAACTGGATTTCCATGATGCGTTGAAATCCAGTAGCCCATACAAGAGAGCCAGGCCAACAAGAGCAAACATGGTACAATGGACAGGTGCCTTTTGAGTAGGGGCGTGTTCAATTGTATGTGTCTGGTGTTCATGGAGATTGTTGATTGCAAGCCGACCTGTTGCATTCGCCCTACCATGCTTCGGTCATTTCTGTGTGTTCAGGTTTGCTCCACATCGGCAAAGGACACTGCGCTGCGCGGTGTTGTGCTGTTCTGGGTCCCTTGTGCGATCTCCATAGGCCTCGCTGTACTTCGGAAATTCTGAATGCTTGCAATCAACCCGCTCACTCTGCACTTCGATGGCCAACAACGCCAAATCGTGCAACGCAGCATTTCGGTATGCTTTCAAAAATGCAATCATTGTGGGTTTGCTTGCAATGCAGCGGAGTCTACTATGGATTGCGTTGTTTTCTAGAAAATGCTGCAATCCGTAGTGGACTGCAGGCAAGGTCTTGCATGTTGCAACTGTAGGACAACAATTGCCTGCAGGCAGAATCCATGCCAGGCTATTTGAAATAGCGTTGGGGCGAAAAAAGCCCGTTGTCAATTTGTAGGCGGGAGGTCCTTGGCTCGTCAATGGGACCAGTGTGGTAGAAAAAGTTCAGTTGGCGTCAACTGCGAGGTGCAAACGTATTCGATGACGGCCAAGGTTACCACAGCCGAACAAGAGTCCGAACAAGAGAATGTGTATCAATGGGCGCAGTTGCACCGGAACTGCTATACAGGGACGATTCTCGCAGGCTGCCGTGCCCTCTTGCTAATGCAGCATTTGCCAAATAGCACCGATGCCTACTGCGGCCCTGCATGCATCCGTAACAGTCGCTGCTATGGGCAAGCAGACGCTGGCTGAATATCATCATGGTCGTTCCACGACACCACTGCAATGTTCTGCACGATTGGCGGGGGTGCTGTTTGGCCTCGAGTGGTGCTATTTGAAGGCCAAATAGCGCAACTCGGCACCGAATAGCTTCGGGGTGCTATTACTTCCCAAGCCGTTATAGCATCTTCAGAGCATCTTTATCGGTCGGTGATATTGCACCGGTGGAGCTATCAAGGAACGGTTCTCATTGGCTGCCGTGCTTCCTCACTAAGGCGGCATTTCCCAAATAGCACCAGTGATATTGCTCCCCTGCACGCATCCACATGGGTGCTATGCCTACGCCGAATAGCATCACTGCATCACTACAATGTTCTGTGCGAATAGAACCGGTGCTATTCTGGGGTGCTATTCGGCCCCGAGCGGTGCTATTTGGGTCCAAAATGGTGCTGCTCGGCGCCGAATAGCTCCGGGGGTGCTATTGGAGTGCTATTGCTCCCGAACTGTTATTGATGGTTTTTTGACGTGCGGTGCTATTCGAATAGCACCGCCGGGACAATAGCACCGACCGATAAAGATGTTCTTAGTGATGGTTTTGACCGAATCGCATCACCGGGACAATAGCACCCACCGACAACTGTATAGTTATGTAGCGTAAATGCTCCACACAGTGCTTCGACACACACTGCCATGCACAAAAGGCCGCGAACCGGGCGATTTCAGCGGACGGCGCTATGACAACATGTACAAGGACGTGTACAGACGGTGAGTCAATTCTGCATCCGTGGTGCTTCAGTGGTCAGGCACCTACTACTAAACTGACGACAGCAGCAATCGAGCGCCACACGTACCGCTGACGGCGACAGCAGCCAGACTAGCGGTGGTGGCCCACGCACCTTTTTGCCGCACATCCCCCAAACCCGTGCGGCCTAAAGTCTCCCAACCAGCCCCAGCCCCAGCGGACGTCCCCCCGACCCACTCCCCGCCGCCCTTCCCGCCTCGCGGCACCTCTGCCGCCGTGCGCCAAACCATTCAATCAATTAACCAATCCCGTTCGCCAGGCGCCCGAGCCAGGCGCATCGATCCCCAAAGTCGGAAGATCATCTTTCTTCCTTCTGAAGATTCTTCTTTCTGAAGATTCTGCTCTCTTTTTTTCTCAAGGCCTTCTTTTCGCTGGAGATCATTTTTGCGGCGCGATTCGATGTGGGAGTTCTGGCGCAGCCGGCTGTCGAAGGGGCCCAATCGGGCGAGGCGGGATTCGATCGCCGGCGAGGAGGGGGCCGCGGGCCGGGCGTCTGAAAAGAGCGACCGCAGCTCGTTCGTCAATTTCAAGGACCTGAATCTGAGGGTGGGGGGGGAATGGGATGATGCGGAGAGCGACGAGCATGAGGGGGAGGGAGGGACGGGGGGCAGTAAAGCAAGGAAGGTCGTCGAGCGCAACAAGCTGATCATCATCATGGTGGGCCTGCCCGGGAGGGGGAAGACGTTCCTGTGCAACAAGCTGGCGTCGTATCTGAACTGGTGAGAGTGCACGTCGAGATGTGACGCAAAACCCAAAAGCCGCGCAATGAAAAGGGGCACTCCTGCCCTAGTAAGAATGAGTTGGGCTCTCTTCCGCTTTGCAAGGGTATAGGGCCACCGGCGGCAGCGGGTTTCCGTGTGGCGCTGGCGTTGATTGGATTGCATGGAGGGTCTACGCAGGAAGATGTTATGTCTCGGACCATGGCTGGTAGATCTTCAGGGTGTGTATGTATGTGGGCTTGGAGAGATGATGTTCAGAAAACGGGGAACAGGTAACGCATTGGAGCACTCCCTGCATTCCATGAATTACATTTGTCAGACGAGCCAAGCCAAAGACAGCCCTGGCATCTCCCATTCGATGGAGGTTGTCGAAAGGTTTGCACGTAAGGGCACAGTCCCGCTCATTCTCCAGCTGCGTGTGTCGAAATCCACTGGCCGGTGTTCTGCTTTGCAAGCTGTGGGAGTCGCTGACGACAGGAGTGTACTGAAAGCAAGGAAAGATGCTTAAAAGTAACAAGTATACACTCCTGAAATGTTCAGCTGAATGCAGGGAAAACTGCCATTTATTTTGTGCAGCGCTGGCTCTTTGTGTCCATTTATGAGCTACAATTGCCAAAAGATGGAAGAAATTGTCCCAAAAACTGCCAAGGGATGGATTGCACAGATCGATACAGCGAATGTCCATGAAATCGACCCCAAAAGCAAATTCTAATACGTTGTCCATAAGCGCAACATTGGATTGGCGATTTTATTGGCTGCTGCTATTGTAAGCAGGAGGATCAATCAATCAAGAGGTTAAATCGTGAATGTGTACTCTCTCCTGCTTCTTGCGCTCCTTGTCATAAGGCTCCCCACCCGTCCTGAAGGACTTCACGATTTGTGGAAATGTTAGTGTACTCAGCTTGTGCAAAGTGGTAGCACCGTAGAATGCTTTGTCTCTGCATCGCACATCTAAAACATCTGTGGAATGTAACCTGGAGATCATGGATAGTGGGAAAGGTCAGTGAGGAAAGTTCTGACTGTCCCATGATGGTGGCCATTTAGAGGTGTGTGACCCCAGCGCGTGTATTGATACACCACTGTGCATTGATGGCGTCAGGTTGGGCCATCACACTTGGCATATCAATGTGGGCACATATCGGCGACAGCTGAAGGATGATGGGCAGATACAAGACGCTTCATTCTTTGATCACAGGAATCCGGTGGGCACTGAAGGTGTATTTCTTCTTCTTTATTCCTTCCCAAGTTATCACAATAGGCATTCAAAGGTGCTTTGGGTTACTTTGTTGATAAAAAGGAGATATTATTTATGATGGAAGCTGTCAAGACCTACCGATTCATGGCCTCACTATAGATATCGCGGTGTCAGGTTGAGTTTACAAATACTTTGACACCTGCTCATTACATTTGTTTGCCAGCCTGAACATGTGCAAAGCTACTGCGTGCAATTTTCTGTTGCTTGTCCCTGCACCCACATGACATGATGCATAAATGGTATTGTAAGTTATGTGGAACATTGGCTGGGAAAGTGATCGAAGGCCCAGCAGCAGAGATGCTACAGTTGACTTTCATTTGCAGTGATCAATTCTTGGATCTTGGTTGACATGTATGGGCTGGTTTGAAATTCCGTTCCTCTGAGCACATTTCTCAATAGCACCACTGACAGAATTTGCTTATTTCGTTCTGGCCAGAAATTCCTATAACATCCAGCAAAAGAACGAGCAAAGAAATATAGAAGCTTAGATTCCACTGTGAGACTTACTGCAAATTCTTTCCTACAGATGACTTCCACACTCAGAAGATTCTGTCCCTTACGCAAATGCTCTTGGAGCGCTATGTGAGCTGCTTTGTTGCGGACGACTGACTGACATCGAAACATGTCAAGCTCTTCCTCTAATTAATCCTGAACTGGGTTCACATGGCTCATGTCAACATCGATTTCTATTGCAGTGCTTTCTTGTCACCATTTGAAAGGAGCCAGTTTTGCCATTGACACATGTTGGGATGTCCATTGTTGCAAATCACAACGATTTTCATATTTAAATTTTGCTTGCCAGGCTGGCATGGAAGCTAGGGAGAAGGCTCTCCATGCGGCCCTTGATGATCTGATGCTGTATCTGCAAAGTGGTGCGTACTGTTCTCCCTGAAATCAGAATTTAATGTGTTTATACCATTGACCACATGTTGAGCACCAATAAATGAACCAGCTTAATCCAAACGTGCAAATCCAGTCAAAAGTTGCATCAATCGACAATTTATGTCCTACAGTGAAGCACCAGCTACCAGCAACAAGGACTTATGCACATTGTGTGCTTTTTTAACACAGAGGTTGGTTATCACTTTTGCCAAGTATAGTGAGGTCCTTGTAGCCAGGAAAGATGCTCATGCCTTATTCTTTGTTCAGCAGAGATACATACCATGATCAGTTTGTCATTTTGCTGTTACTTCTGTTGAAGCCCTTATTCATTCCTGAACAAGATTTGGAAGAGATGCTTTTTCCCACTCAGGGGTTGACGATGCAGTAGTCCAGAGTATGATAGAAGCAGCTCACAGAGCCAGTCAACGGTCACAAATTCTTTTGGGGGACACTTCTGCATGTTGATATTTGCCCATCGCTCGTTTTTGGCTTGCAAGCCTGTCCTCCTTTTCTGGGATTGAATCTTGGCTGTTTGACAGGACTCATCTGCTTTTGCGCATGTCCCCAGATGAAGGACAGGTCGTCATATTCGATGCCACGAACTCGACAGAGAGCCGGAGACGATACCTGGTGAGAAGCTGACTGGGACGGCACCTCCATGCTTTGAACAGTTGGAACACCAACCACATTCTGTGTCATGCCTTTTGCACTGTGTTGTACATGCCTTGCCTGCTGGCACTATCTTGCTGTGGGTTGAGGAATTGGACCATCGTCGCTGGTGGTGCATCTTGCATAGGTCCCCTTGTGAGCAGGGGATGATTTATCTGAGATGCTGAATCTAAGAAACTCGGGGGCTGTGCACTTGTGGGGCACTGTGTTGAGAAGGGACATATCACTTTTAATGTCCCCTGGAGCAATGCATGCTTCTTTTGCAGTTTTCTCCATTGGTGCATTTTGTGGAAAGGTATAGTGTGCCCTTTGTGCTAATTTGGGTGAGAACAGGGGAATGTATCTTCAAATGGTTGGCTGCACAAAAATGGTATCTCACTTCTTGTCGATCTCCAGCTTGTGCATTGCACGTTGCTGAAACAACTGCAGATTGATGTATAGCAGCAAGGAGCTGTTCAACAGTGATTGCTGTACATCTGTGCTGCAATGCTGTTGGCTATCAGTAGCAACTGCAGAATCTGTGCTTGACATCAACTTTAAGCTTGATGTTGTAGTTTTACATTCAAATGCCTTGGGCACTGTCGAATTGCTGCCTTTGACAGTGACCCTATTCATTGCTGCCAAGCTAAATGTGCCCAGCTACCGCACAGCATGGTGTTTAAGCTGACATTCTTCGGCGAACGTTGGCAACAGAGGCAATGGCAGTCTCTTGCAGCATCTACGCTGTATTTTCCTAGGTTTGCTCAACTTTCCCAGGCAGCCTGTTCAGGAGAAGCATTGACTGTGGGTGGCTGCTGGTGCAGCTCTTTGGTTGCTATTGTGGAGAGTTGCAAAAGTACAAACTTAAAGTACGAAAACACACACTAGCTACAAGGTGATGTTGGTCGTAAGTCTGCAGATAGATTGTCCAGAATATGCTTGTAATGAATGCCAGAAGCCACTAGAACGTATGGAAACAGCTGACTGTTTGTTGCTCGTTTTTTGTTAACTGCAGATCAGCAAGTTCCATGGAAGATTCCAGTACATGTTCATTGAGAACATCTGCAATGATGAGGAAGTTCTGATAGAGAATTACCGCCAGAAAATGAAATACAGCCCAGACTATCTTGGAGTAGACACGGAAGAGGTAAGAGGCACTGCATCATGCCATCAGCAAAGTTGTTCTTCACATATGGGCTACTAGATGCACTCACCTGAAGTTGAATTCGTGTCATTCATAGCCCCTTGCCTGAAGGTGTTGTTACTGCCATTGCCATTGAAATTAATCAGGAAACATTGGGTAACAACACCATAACTCTATGCCTCTGTCCGCTGCAATGGTGCATTCTGCCCAGAGGAGTCGCATCATGCTGGGGAAGTGAATGGTCTGTCTTGTCAAGCATATGCTGCTGCATGCTGTGGCTTTGAGAAGATATTGTTTCATTATTGCTGCCTGTGCCAGCTGATCAAGGCACTGAAAGAGTACCCTTTCAATTCCCTGAAATGTGCTGCTGCTGAATCATCTGACGGGATCAGAAAAGGTACTGTGATGTTATCACCTCCCCAGCTGTGACAGCAGAGGGTGATGGTCGCTGCAAGGATTTCAGCATAAGGACAACTTGCTGTTACAAATACTCACACAAGTGTGACCGATGCTTGACAAAGATTACGAATCCAAGCACTGACTTGTCAATATATGCAGTAGACTGCCCTGGAGAAATTCCTTATAGCATATGTGTCTTGAGTCCCCATGCTTGGCAGCTGGAGTCCATGGTTTGGTTTGGCAGCTCACGTGACGCCCTGGCTGCAACTGGGGAACATACACATGCAAGCATTTGGCAATAACTGGAGAACGGCCTGGGGTTTGCAAATTTTGGACTTGTGCTCTTCAACATCATCTGCAGAAATACTCGCCTTGTGTGCTTGAGGCTGTTGCAAGTTTGACTGCAATCTGAACAGGGGCAAGTGCTGATGCCAAAAGACAGTTCCCGACAGAAGCGAGTTTTGTATTTGTATTTGTACCGGTAATTCCAGTTCGACCCCTTGCAAGGGTGGCAGGTGTCCACCAACGTGGGTGTTGTCCCGCCTTGGACCCACGTGCCTAGCAGTGTTGACTCTCACCCACCATGAGGCGCCCTTCTATCCCATTAGGCTATTTACTATCTGGTCACCATACCCTTGGTGCGTGGTCTGTTAATCTGATATGCTTACCCCCAGCACTTTGAGTTCTCACGCCTTTGATATGATTCCCTGACACCCCACATCCCTGGTAGCACCTCATTTGGGCTGAGTAAGGGGCCTTCTACCAGCCCTCTAACGGACAGTAGCGAATATGTCACAGCATATACACAGCCACAACTATCACAATTGTGGAGACTATCCTGGCACCGCCAAGATAATGTTAACAGTACTAGTTTTCAAGAGCACCAGGAACAATGGGTAGTACCACTACTGTTACAGACAGGTACAACAGCCAGTAACTGGATGAGTCTGGCAAAATGGGTGTTGGAAAGAGAAGTGCAATAAGTGCAACAAACGAGCTCTGGGCGTGCACGTGGCAGGCTCTGCGTGACTTCCAGGCAAGGATAAAGAACTACTCAGAGGTGTATGAGACCATATCTGATCGGAACATCCACTACATCAAGTTGATAGACATGTACGTCTGATGGTGAGGATGGCTGCTGCAGTGTCTGTTGATTCAAGGTGTCTCTTTTTTTGTACGGACTTCTTTACTCAGGCAAACTGGGCAGAGCATGAAGTCAATACAATATTGCTGTGTTTGTGGCACCTTCCATCGCTTCAGTTGTGCCTACACCTGAAAGGTGTCATGGGAAATTGAAGGGAGGTCAATGTGCATTTGTGGGAGCCTTTGTGGGTCTGCTGAAAATATTGTCACTTGAAATGGAATTTACCTCTGAATATCTTGTCATTCCCTGAGGGGTATGTTCAAAGGAATTTGGGTTGTTTGGCTGGTGACCACAGCAAGTGGACAGGGGGGAACCCGGAGCTTGCATGTTGCCCCAGAAGCTTTGGATGCTGGGTTGCTGCTTGTCCATCAGATGAAAACGATGGATTCACACTACATCACCAGGGAATTGTCTGTGCCTGTTTGGGGACTTGCAATGTGTCTGTGCAGATTGGAAATAATGCTGCAGGTCAAACTGTTGATCGCATTGCCAACATACTGAATATGCAGCTGTATATGACGATGTGCCATGGTGTATGTTGTGATATGACGATTAGGTCCAAGTAGATTGAGCTATTAAGGTATTGGGGCCATGGTTTGCAAGCCAGAACACAGAGTAGACAGCTTGATTGCATTGTTTGCATGAAAGCAGGGTACATTTGCTTTATCTTGCATACTTCAACGGGCTTGCTGATGTGGATCCACCATGACTGCAATTGTACACATTGTGCACATGACGAAGCAAAACCAAACATCAAATTTGTGATATGGGTGCAATATGGAACCAGCAACCACATGCACTGTGATGTATGTGATATACACAATGCTGCGTGTTCAACTCCTCCCTGCCTTTGCTCCTTGCTCGAAGGAACTCAAGGAGCCTGGCCCTGTGCATTGCAGGGTTACTGGCCGTGGCCACATGGACGTGAATCGCATAAGTGGATACCTGCCCGGCAAGATTGTGTTTTTTCTCATGCAGGTGTGGCACACTGTACTCATCTTTTCTGTTCATCATGCTGCGTTTATCTGGAGACGTTGCCCTTGTAAGTCATTTGGTATGTTCATAGATTCATCCATATTGCGTGCTCAAAGTACCAGTGTATTTCTTCTAGCCCACATATAGCAGCTGCTGGTATCAGATCTCAATCCCATGGTGTGGTTATCGCTTTGTTCAGTACGCTATGTGTTGACTATTCACTGCTCAGCACAGGCAATGAAGGGCAAAGTGACCAAATCTGTATTCTCACAGTGATAATCATCATGCCATCCTCACAGTGCAGCTACAGGACCGGAAAGGGAACTTGTTTGTATGCATTGTTTTGTTGTCACATGGTGTGAACTGGGGGCGGCATACACTATTCCGCTGCCCGGTGTGCAGTGAAGTGTGCAAGACTCTTGGCCAAGCAAAACTATGAACTCATTCGCCCACCTGCAGACATGTGCAAAAGCCCACAAATGTCGTGGCCAGACGCATTTAGTCATTGGCTCACTCTTGACATGAGATTGGCAATTGTAAATGAATATCCCATCCTGTATCACGTCGATTCACCAGCTCATCTCCATGAACCTCAACATCTCTCATCTGCTGTTCGAATTAGCGCACAGAAGGGAGTATCGGAAGACATGGAAGGCAATGGCGATATCCCACAGGTTGTGTGTTTGAGACAAATGGACCTTCATCTCCTGGGATTTAACTTTCCCACACAGTACGAATTCCATCGAATAATATTGTCACAACAGAGGTGTTCCATGTTACCAGGCCATGGTAGTCACAGAGATCTTCAGACAGTGTTCAATGTCCCAAGATCATTGATCTGCGCACCATGTTGAACAGGTGATAAGCGCAGCCATTTTGTGTGCACTCCCCACAAGGCCTGGCTGCAAGCAATGCGCTTGCAGGTTGTGAGAGGCTTGCGCTGCTCATTCAGGTGTGCAGGGTCGGCATAGGCAAACGCCGCAAGCTTTGGTTCAGCAGGCATGGGGAGAGCGAGTACAACAGGCTGGGTTTGCTTGGCGGTGACAGCCCTGTGAGCCCGAAGGGCGAGGAGTATGCCAGGATGTTGCCTGACATACTAGATGAACGACTGGAGCAAGTGGAGCATGTGAGCGCCTTGTCGTTGCTGTTGAGCGTACATACCTCTGTTTCAGCAGATTGTTCCTTGTGCATATCGATGGCACACCCTTGGATATGAAAATAACCTAAGGGTGCACGTGCCATACTGCCCTGGAAGCAGCCACGCTATGCTTGTTTGCCAAACTGCCAATCACTGGGTTCGCTTGTTGAAGCCATTGCAAGTGCGGTTGAAGTCATGCAGGTTTTCATTCAAGCACACTTTCTTTGGCAACGTGCTGTAGAGCCTCTGAAGGCGATGAAGTGTGCATAGAAGCAAAATGTTTGTTTGATGTCGCTGACAGGTGGGCAATGATGATGGTGTGCCCCTGTCTGTCTGGACATCCACTCTCAGACGAACCATCCAGACTGCTCAACACCTGCTCAGACAGGCGCCGCCAGAGGAATGGCAGATGCATTTCCGGGAAGCGCGGTTTCAGTGGGGGCCGCCATGTAAACATTAATGCAGCAAGGAAATCCACATCGATATTAGTGTTGAAACTATTGTGAATTGCTGCGTTACATCCTGTGGGCGATTCAATGTGGTGTTTCATGATTGCTGGTGCTCCTTCCTAAATGAAATGGTCGTATCCACAAGTGCATTTTCCCAAAGCAGAGGCGACGAGCTGTTGTTCAGTTTTAGCTGTTGTGTAGATTTGCATCCCAAGCTGTCTCTGCTGTAGTGCCCCACCCCCCCAACCCCCCCCTTGAGGGTGCCTGTTGGTGTTGCCACAGTAGAATACATAGTCCAGCGACCGCAGTTGTCGAAGCCATGGAATACGAATCTCATTCACTGTTCGTCTTCATCTGCAGGTATCCTAGTGGCGAGAGCTACCTGGACGTCATCCAGCGACTGGAGCCGGTCATCATCGAAATGGAGAGGGAGAAGGAGTCTGTCTTCATCATAGGCCACCAGGCCATCCTCAGGGTGATCTACGGCTACTGCATACGAGCCCCCCTGGACACAATCCCCACAATCCCCATCCCCCTGCACACCCTGATCGAATTAACACCAATGCCCGATGGCACAATGAAGGAGCAGCGCTTCACCGTGGACGTGACCACACCGCCGTCCTCGCCCCCGCCTGTGCCACCCATGCGCTGGTTCCGTGGAGGGGACCTCGCGCCCATGCAGATCATGGCGACGTCCATAAAGGACGAGCTGTCGGACACGGAGGAATCGGAGGGGCTTCCTGACGACCAAGGGGAGGGGGCTGAGGCGGCTGAGTAATGCAATTCAGAATGTCTGCTGGTATTTCCCTTCGTTTCCCTGCTGGTAATTTTCTTCTTTTCATCCTGGATGTTGTAGAGGCGGATAGTCGGCACATGAGACGAACACTGGGACAAACAATGGAGACACTGTTCTTGTGGGGTTGGGTGGCGACATTGGCCTTGGCGGCAGACACGCCATTAGTGAATTTCGTCACCACCCTGGATGTCGGCAAATCGTTTTTAGGAGCGCATGTGCATCGCACATGTATCACAAGCAGGATAATCACCTATCCAAGGATATGGAGGGCAAATGCTGAGTGGCGAGGCGGGCCCAGATGATGCAGGGATGGTGCATTGCAGCACACTGGTGCTGATTGAACTGGATTGGATCGATGTTAGTGACGATTGAGGGGCTGTGCACACCAAGGAGTGATGTGCGTGAGCTAAGCGGGTGGCACAGACTGGAGAGGATTGCGCTGGACCTCGCCAGTGGCGTGCATGCAGCTGTTGCCGCCGAATTGTTGCAAAGCAAGTCAGAAACGAGGCATATCAAACATGGTGAAAGGAACGAGGACACACTGCTGTGGAGTGGACCATGCAGGAATTGGTGGGCTGCATCTTTGGACAGGTGTCCAATGCCTTGTTTGGGCTGAACTGAATTCTTTCAATTGTTTCTTTCATTTGGCTGTCGATAGCATGGCAGACGCGTGCTTTGGAAGCCTGCTCTTCCGCGGTGCTGTCTGTTTCGTTTTTCCCTGGGGGCACGTGTAGCACGTGAAGCATTCTTTGGGGCTGGAACAAAGGCGGGCACTGTGGGCTTGAATTGTATTGTAACAATGCAAATTTTCACGGATTGCGGCTGTCAGAGTTGCACTGAAAAAGGCACCCGCCCTCGCAGGCGATGATACATATAGAGAAATTCCAGTCTATGTTCAATGTCCCAAGACCAACATTGACGTTGATCAATACGCCATTAAGGGTCCGGCAATCGCTTGGGCTGCGTATGTCGCACGGACGAATGGCTGCCCGATGCACTGCCACTGCCGGGTGCAGTGGATTGAATTCGTTCCAGCAACAGTGCGACAGTCACCCAATACTCATCGACAGATCCAGGAATGAAACGCAGCCACTTTCCACAATGCACAACAGAACGTACGCGCAGGACGTGTGAGTGGCGATCGGATAAAGCGCATATCCATAGTCCGACATGCGGACTGCCGGCCTAACGGCGCCTTGGCGTTTTCTAGTGCCCTGTCTGAGTGTGGAAGGCGCTGCGATAGCGTGATAGCATACTTGGTTGTGAAGGTGCGTTATTCTAAAGGGACCTCCATTCGCACCAAAGCAGAAACCCAGGGGATGGAGCAATGAAACGATTGCATTGTTGGCATCTCTTGCATGGGCTAAATCGTTCAAAGCGGTTGAGTGATGATCGCCACGGGCAGAAATCGCATTTCTGGCATGGCAGTAGCCCCGCTGTGTGAGACGCCACCGTGGGCGGCTGTTCCGTCACGGCACCACTTTGTCGCAGATTGGTCATGGCACAGCGCGGCGTGTTGGGAGGTTCGGAAGTACAGAGGGCGATGCCATGATCCTGCCCTCATGGAATCCATGGCACAAAGTTGCAAGAGAAAAGCCTTGCGAGACACACAGAACCGACACTGAATTAATTCACACAGTGCAATATGTTGAAACAATCCCCAGGGAGAGCATAATCGGCTCTTGCTCAGATTAAACGGCGTACAAATCTGAAGGGTATTGTTGTGCGACACGTCGGACTGGCAACAGCATTTTGATGTTTGATCGTAAGTTTAATGAATTCTGTCATTGTCTGTTGTCGGCGATTTCTTCAAATGAGCATTAAAATGTGAAATGTTCCCACAGCAACGTTCTCGACATGAATTTCAAACTCTCCACAAATGCAGTGAGAACAGAGTGAAAACAGCGAGGACAGAGGAAGAGAAATTGTCCTGCAACATCTACCCTGTTATTGGCACCATATTCCACCAGTGTTATCGCATTTCCAGATGCCGGATTTGCTTCGCCTGGGCAAGGACAAACAACTCACAGCCACGGCAATGTTCGGATGCCCAATCACAACCCTGATGGCGTCAGTGCCAGTGTTGGATTCACTAGTACATCACTTGTAATTTGCCAGCGCTGTTTTTACCAGTAAAGACAACGCCTTGTTGGAACACAAGCGGTGCTCGATTCACTGGCGCCTGTTCATCAGTAGTAGTTGTTAGTAATGCGGCGTTCCTTAGCGAGCTCGTTTTGTCTTACATCATCAGCGAACGGCGGCAACATTTGCTCGCCAGCAATCGGCTGGTCTGGTCCCACCTCTGCCATGAGTAATGAATGGGCTATGAATTGTGGCTCTTGTGGCACTGTGCAGCATGCTGATTGTTTGGAAGAGCACAGTCGCAGGCCAGTGGCACTGTAACGATTCAGCTAGCACCAATTGGAAGCGTCAGATCTGAAAGCCCCGTCTTGTGAGGTGCTCATATCAGATGTTTCGAATTAGTCACTGCATTTGCAGAATGTAGACTGGCAGTGAATCAGCAGAACAGCAGAGACTACAACACCAAAGGGTGACTGTGGTGAAAAAGGAAAACTATGGTGGTCAGGCGCGCTGAAAAGTGGGCAATGGCACTGCCCAACCCCCACCCCCAAAAGAAGAAACAGCATCGAGCTTTTTGCTGCCAAGGCACCCTTGGAATGCCAAGTGCGCTATCTCCAAGCCTTTTGCCAACATAAGTTTTAAAGTTCAAAGTTCTGTCCATCAGCCAGTGTTCCATCTGCTATTGCTACTTGTCCAGACAACATACCCACGGCAACAGTCTGGGACACTTGAGCAATCATGAGAGTGGATGCAACTTCCCTCAATGTTGATGTTTCTTGCATGGAACCTCAGCTCACCGACTGCACAGTATGGACACAGTAGCAGAGAATGCCCCAAAGTAAGTTTTGTTCCCCGTTTTCCACAATACACTTTGACATGCGCATCACACAATATTCCCTCGCTGTCAACTCAGTGACCTGCCCACTGCCTATCAATCCCCTTGTGATGCCCCTCGCACCTGCCTGCAACCTTCCAATCACAGCGGGGTCCACATAAGCTCATCATCAGATCAAACACTGCAATGCCAAAATCTCAGAATGCCCCGAGGGACACAAAAATTCGGGCTCGAAATCCTACCCTGCCCAATCCCATCCTCACCTCCTCTTCTTATGTGACAAATGCAATCAATAAGCGGATCAACTCCCTACCCCAGGGGCCTCACGAGCAGCTGGCAGGTGCGCTTGAGGCCTGACCCCACGAACTCCTCGCAGCCCTCGACCCCATCCGGGTGCGAGTAGCCAAACCCCGCATACAGCCCAGATGCCCCCTCATTGGCTGGATCGCAGTGCAGCGCCGCGATGTGGCAGCCCCATTCTCGCGCAGCAGCCTCCGCCGCGACCACCAGCGCCTTGCCCACGCCCTGGCGCCGGGCGGCGGGCGACACCGCCAGGTTGCTGATGTACGCCACGCCCTGCATCTTCTGCCATGTGGTCCTGCCGTCCACGACGCGCGGCACGCTAGGCAGGTGCTGGCCCAGCGTATCCACGACCGCCACCTGGAGCGCCGCGAGGGCAACAATGAGGGCGGGGCGTTTTGTCGCGAGGGTGGTGACCGGCGGACAGGTCTGGCAAATTTCGGCATCCTCGCGATGGCGAAAGATCAGGAAAAGGAGTGCAGGCAACCTGCAGGCTGAGCAGAAGAACGGGGGCGTCCGTTGTGTGGCGTGCTTGAGATCTGGAAGGGGGGGAACAATCTGGTTCTGACGAGGTCTGGCCAGTGGCGACCTTAATGGTGTGGCGGGGCGCCAAGACGCGAGGCGCAAACGGCAGAAGAGACTGTCCAGTTCACGGGAAGCCCGACTCGTAGAGGTGCGGGCGGGGCGCCGGCGTTCATACCCGGATCCAATCTCCGTCCAGGCCCAGAGGGGATCGTGCAGACTCTGTTGCAACGGGTCAATGCCATTAGGGACATCGTTCCGTCGCTTCCGCGCGACACAACCGTCTCCGATCGCGACGGAGCCGACAACTTAAAATCAAATAACTGCGCCCAAGCCGCTGGTCCCTCACCCCCAGAACGCCCTGCCTCTCGTGCGGCACGCCCAGCCCCTGCCGCACGCCTTCCGGGAAGGCCGCACCCAACACCGACTTTCCCCAACCCCCTTCACTGCCCGCCGCCGCATCCCCCTCCGCCTCCCAGCCGCCGCCCTCCTCTGCCGCCACCAGGCACGCGAACCTCCCCCGCCCTGATGCCTCGTACTGTTGCCCCGCGATGATCGAGATCACGCGGTCAAGCCTCAGCAGCGGGCCAACCAAAAAGTCGGGTACCCCGCGCGGGTAGAAGGCCGAGCAGTGGAGATCGGCGGCCGGCCAGACTTCGTGGCCCTGGGCTGGGCGCACGCTGTACTCGACCCCCCTCCCGGTGGCCCACTGCGCCAGGGCGGCAGACACGGGAGGGGATCGGCGGCCATGTACTGGGCCATTTGCCAACGCTCGCATGTGGGCGGGAGCAAGGATGGGGATTGGGAGTGCCCGGGGAGGCCCACCCAGGGCGAAGGCGGGCGGCATGGCGGCCTTGGGGTGCTGCGGCTCACGCGCGCCGGGGTTGCCGCGCTGCGGGACCCATCGACGGGTCGACGCCCGCCCCTGGTGTCCCCAGCCCACAGCGAAGTCGAAGCTTTTGAAATGTGCACAAGAATGGGATCAGCGACGAAATGGTGAATATTTCTTTTTGCGACAGTGGACTATTTTTTTTTGCGACAGTGCCAAACTACTCTTTTTTGCGACAGTGGATTGTTCTTTTTTGCGACAGTGAATATGACTAATGCACAGCTTGGGAAGGCGGCGGGCCCTCGAACCAGCTCGCCTACCCGCCCCCAGCACCCCTCCACCGTCACTTGCCACCGGCCGCTAGCAGCCGCCGTCACTGTTGTTCGCCGCCCGAGGGACCGTTTTCCGCTCCCTCGAACTTCACGAGTCAACGCTGTGCTTGTTTGGGGTCTGGGTGACGCACAGGGCCGGGCGGCGCCAAATGAGCACTAGGGTTGCGCCAATCGCTGCAATGGCTCCAGTGGCAGCCCGCCACAGGTCGTGGCTCATAGGGCGTGCCCCCACCCGGCAGCGAAACCTGGTCGTGTGACCAGTCAACGGCGCTGGGCGTGGGCGTCTTGATGGTCGATGCTTGGACGGCAATGGCGCTGGCAACCAGCGCCTTGGCCTCCCCGTCCGGCATCACGAGCAACACTACCCGGTCCCAGTTCGCGGAGGCGTCTCCCCGCGCGGCCAAGTGGCCGCATTTTAGGGGGCTAGCACGGCAAAAACAGATCTGGGGAGGAAACGGGGGGCTGCAACATCAGCCGATTCGGCTGAATCTCAGCGCCAAACTGATCGCCGAGTGGTAGCGGCAGTCCCCTTCCGCAAGGTGGGGACCCTGGGCGTCCCCAAATGTTCCCGTTTCGCCTTTTAGTCCTTTCTCCGAACAGACGCGCCTTCAGCGCCGTTGTGAGAGGAGGCCCGGTGGACCGTGCAGGGGTGGTGTGGCAAATCTGATGCCAACATCTCGCGCATCAATTATCGCCACTGTCGCAAAAAAGAGTAGTTTGGCACTGTCACAGAAAAGAACAATCCACTGTCACAAAAAAAAATAGTAACCCGACGAAATCTTGCGCACCACGCTGATGTGACGTTATCGTAGTCGCCAACAGGCGAGGACACTTCGTTTGATGCATTATCATTGACAATCGCTGCTGGACATCAGGAGTCAATAGACTCAACAAATTGCCTTTGCGTTTTGCAGAAGATGCCCCATTGCGCAGAAAATGGCGGCAGTAGAGTGAATATAAAAAACGATCCCAAGAATCGGTATACCACTTCGACGATCCCCAAAACGTGATCCATTTTCACCCCATCAATACCCATTAGCTATCCCAACATGCCGAGTAGGGCGATCATACACCTCCCAATACAATACTCTCCCTTATCCTTTATGTCAATGTTGGTACGGAAGTCTTGTTTCCAGCCACGCGAAGTGGAATGAAACGGGAGTTAATCGACCCCTGAGTGGTCATTCATTAAATAAACAATATAAACAATAAAATGCATATTGCTGGCGCAACCATGGTCGCTCGAGTGGTGCAGCACTTTTGCTGCAATTCATGTGCCAAATTGCATGAGATTTGAAAACATGGTATGCCTCGCATACTATTCCCAAGACCACCCACCCACCAGCAGTTTCTTCCGAACGCGAGCGAGTGCCAAAGCTGTGCTCCAAGGCACCCGCCCTAAGGACGTTAGCACACTTTTCTCAAGTGAAAGGCAATCGACTCGTTGGGTCGATCGCCACAAACAGAATTTTCAAACTTGCCTCCCCCCACCCCACCCCACCCCCACCCCCATGCCACTCGCCTCCAATCGGCGGCCAAAGAAGCACCTCAAAGCGCTGCAGCACTGCAGCGCTGCCGTCAAGCCTTTTTGAAGTGAAAGATCATGGCGATCGACCCATTTGGTCAATCGCCGTGGCCGCACATTTCAAATTTGAACTTGAACCAACCCGCCCCACTCCTCTAAAACCGCCACTCATTCTAATCTATAGTCAAGAGATGCCAAGAGGCACCTCAAAGTGGCCGCCCAGCTTGCTCAAAGTGAATATCGCATCGGGCGACCAGCTGCGTTAATCGCCTTGAACAGATTTTTTTCGCATCAATTGCCCCCCAACCCCTACATCCCTTACCAATCGCCCTCCCAGATGCGACTCGAGCCATGGCTGTGACGTGGCTGCTTGGGGTTAGGCAGTTATTGACATTTTCTGAAGTGGTAATTATGTGATTGGGGAAACTAACCTTTTGGGGTGTTATTTAGAGCTTCTTGGTTCCAACGCACTTTTAAACGCCCGATTCCGTTAAGAAATGGCGAAGATATGGCCCTCTGAAGTCGTAGTACTTAGCGGTAGGGGGTCGGGTGTGAGATGCTTGGAATTAGAGGACATTGGGTCGATCGTAGGTGAACGGTGGACGGTGACAATGTGTCTGGACGTGCACTTGACATGTCTTGTCTTGATGTGACTGCGATGGACCCGTGATCGGGCATCCCGCATGCGATTTGTCCGCGCGCATGTTGTGAATCGTTGTAACACTTTTGGCCCACTCTCTGGGCTCCCGCGAGCCAGCGAACCACCTAACCGCTGCACCGCCACCTCTCGCCTACAGCAGCAGGCCCCAGGGATCGATCCCCGTCGAGCATTGGGCCCACCGTGCGACCAGCGAATGCCCCGGATACGCCCACCATCCAAGGTGGAGAGGGCTAGCTGACCTCCAACAGCCGAGCTGCAGGGCAGGGCGACCCCAACGCCTCCATAAACCAGCGGCTATCGACGGGGCCGCAACAATGGCTGTGGGCGATGGCAGTCGCCACCGCTGACCACTCGCCCAAGTGCCGCCTGGTTCATAGAGGTGGCCACCCGGATCCGTTAATAGCGGACAGAGGTTAATTTCCGTTAATTTTCCGTTAATTAACGGAAAATAATAAAAAAAGACAAAATTAACCAAAAATTAGCGGATTTTTGGATTTTTTGGGGATTTTTGGGTTTTAGTCATACTTATAGTTTATGGAATTCGCTATTAGAGAGTATGTTTGTATTTTATTTCAACCTATACATACTAGATTTTCAACTAGCCGCAGTTGTTGTGATTTTTTGGGTTTTTTTTCGATTTTTTTGGATTTTTTTTCGTTTTTTCTGAATTTTTCTCCCTTTTTCTTTAACGAAATTTAACGGACAGCTGATAAAAATTAACGAACCGGATTTAACGGACCGGATGGCACCCTTGAATGGCCACCTCTACTGGTTCATGGCCGCCGCGCCCCGGTCAAGAAAACCTGGGGGGATGGACTGTGAGTGGGCGATCGGCTGCAATGCGGCGGGCCGGGCGCTGGTCAAGGAAGCCGGGGGGAATGGGCGTGAGTGGCCGGTCGGTGCCATGACGTGCGCTGCGTCGCACGCACCCCATGCGCAGGTCAAGGAAGCCCGGTGATGGGCGGCATGTGCATGGTCGGCGTCCGTGCAGCGCACCACCCGTGCGCCATGCGTTGGTGCAGGAACTGGGAGGCCCACCATAGGGGTCACGCAAACCGCGTACCGCCCGTGCGTGTAATGCAAAAAAGGGACCACGCGCACACGCGCATGGCATCAGAGGTGTCCCGGACCCCCCCTCCCTTTAGTCACACCTAAGCCTAGGCCGACAGGCTGCGTAACGCCCATGCGTAACGCGAAAAAGGGACCACGCGCACATGCACATGGCACCAGAGGTGTCCCGGGCCCCCCCCCTCCCTTTTAGTCACGCCTAAGCCCAGGCCGACAGGCCGCGTAACGCCCGCGCGTGACGCGAAAGAGGGACCACGCGCACACGGCGCATGGTACCAAAGGTGTCCCGGACCCCCCCCTTTAATCACGCCTAAGCCAGGCGCGGGTGCCGAGCACCACGCACGGTGTCGGGAAGCCCAGGGAGGGTGCATGCCCAGCGCGGCCGGCAGCGTGTGGTCGACCAAAATCGCAATTTTGCTCTATAAAGCTCCGCTCGCTTCGCTTACTCGCAACAATTATACAACAACAAATAAATTGTACCATCCAATAACCACATATTCACTCTTTCACCAGTCAGAAGTCCCACTTTATAATCAAATATCATCTAATCTAACCATAGTGTATAATTTCTCCCCCCTTTGCAAAGTTTGGATATCCTCGGCCACAAAGACACATCATGCAAGGCTGGCTGAACGGAAGATAGGACGTACCTAACAGAATCCTAGAAGACTAAATCTCATATGTCCCATACCACAATTCAATCTATCATAGAATCATGTTATCCAATTTTCCACCTGGTCCCAGGCAACTGCATAATGTCTTATCGAATGAACTAAAAAGTTATTCTACTCAAGGTCTTGACAGTCACTCAGGGTGGCTTTGATGTTTTGGTGGCTTCATGCAACTATGTTCCCTTTTAAACCCCCATCACATACCTCACCAATTCTGAATATCACAACCTCAAATGCTGCCGACCATCAACTCTATTGTAGGTAGGTTCAAAGACACAATGTGCCCCACACTTTTTACTGTATGCAACTTCATCAAGCTTGAGCAAGAAAGCACAATAGACTTGCCTATAAAATGATATAAAAAAGCAGCTGGGGAGCAATCTCAATTGCCTTAAAAAACCCAATAATGTACCAAATTCTTGGCACTAACTATTTACCAACTGCCACCATCCTTAGCTCTCCATATGACACTTCTGTATATACGATCTCTGATCTCAAAAGTGTATCTTTACAATGTTTTGCTATCCAAGTATATCGCAACTGCATGTCGGTTTATACTACTCACTAATTTATAGCCCATTAATCTGACACAGGCAAGAGGGCATATTAATGGGGTGCGCATGCCTACTAGTTCTTCCTTTACATCTCCACCACCAGTTTTGGGTACGACAATACTGGGAAATCGTTCATTAACAATGCTTTGACCACAAACAATGATGGGTTTATCACTGCACGTTTTCTGACTGCCAGTAAAGCCAGGT